ACTGCTCTTACTATATACCAGCTCTCTAGCAAATCTCATCTGCTCTTGAGTTGCCTACGACCCATATGTTGACAGCATACCTCTAACCCTGTTTTCAGAATTACATCTCCAACTGCCAGCTGGACATCTCCTCCTGGTGATCCTGTTGGCAATCAAATGGAGCACATCTCCTTTCCCCAGTTCCGCTCCAGTTCTGCTCCTCTGTCTCAGCTCCTGATGCCACCGTCTTCCCAGGAATACAAGCTTGAAACTGATCATCATCCTTTTGTCCTCTTTTCTCAATCCTTTCCATCAATCATGGAGCCCTCCCTTCCATTCCCACCTCTTCTCACATCTAGGTTCAGGCCTTGCCTGTCCCTCTGTAACAGCTTTCAAATGTCTTCCCTGGCTCAATCCTTTTCCCTTCCAAACTACCTTATCTTTTAAAAACCCACAATGACCATGTCATTGCCCTGCTTAAAATCTTTAAACAACTCCCTGTTGTGTATAAAGTCAAGGGCCAAGTACAGCATTTGACATGCATCTGAGCTTCCCTTCCCCTTTCCTGTCTGTATCTCCAGCCTCACTCTCCCCACTCCTTGTTTTGGGATCCACATAAACTACATGCACTATGGCAACTGCCCACACTCGTGTGTAACACACTGTTTCTTCCTTCTGTGTCTGTTCATGCCATTCTATTTGGAATTCCCCCACCCTCCACTTCTTTCCCAGCTCCCATGCCTACCATACCCCATCCTTGTAAGCTCAGTTCTGGTGGCCTTTCTAGGAAGCCAGCTCTGGCTGCAGAAGTGCTTCCCCTTCCCATACGTGTTTCTGTCATTGTAAAAGAATGTTTGGTTATCTAAAATCAATATCTCTCTCTCTCTCTCTCTCTCTCTCTCTCTCTCTCTCTCTCTCTCCCCTTCTCAAATGTGGTTAGACTTTAAAATCACTTGTGCTCCACCCTCAGAGATTAAAATTTAATTGGTTTGGAAGAGGGTCCTGGGATCTTTGTGGAAAGTGCTTCTGGGGATTTTAGTGTGTGTCCAGAGCTGCAATAGACTGTGGGATCATGGAGGATCCGTGGTGTAATCCATATGTGGGTCGCCGTGCCTAGCCTAGGTGGGACACATAGCAGAGCTCAGTGAATCCTTGCTAATGCTCATTCGTGGATGAATCAACCTGCTGGCCATGAGGGTGAACCCCTTCCTTGGTCGCTGGCTCCTAGGCTGAGCCCTCCCCTGGGCTGTGCATGGAGCAGAGCTGGCCGCCTCACCTGCTCCCTTACCACGCTCAGTCCCACGTTCATGAGAGATAAGAGAAGCCTCGGGCTCTTGCATCCTTGCTGCTTTAATTGAAAGTCAGTTTGTTTGTTAATACACAGAAAGTTCACCTGCAGCAAAGCATCATTATTTTCTTAAGCTAAGGTTTGGGGACTCTCTCCCAGCCCCTGCTTCTCCCAGACAGGCCGAGTGCCAGGGATATTCCCATGGGGCTTAGGTTATAGATCTTCTTTAGGTTTGGCTACATGAAATTTTGTGACCATGTGACAGGGATATTGAGCCATTTTGGGGGTGGCTAACTTTGTTAGTTTCCTAGGACGGCCAAAACAAATTATCTTAAACTTGGTGGCTAAAACAACAAAAATGTATTCTTCCACAGTCTGGAAGTCAGAAGTCTAGATTTAAGACTCCAGCAGGGCTGTGCTGTCTTCAGTGGCTTTAGCAGATAATCTTTGCCTCTTCCAGCTTCTGGTAGCTAGCACCTGGTGTTCCTTGGGGTATAGCTCAAACACTCTGAGTTCTGCTCTGTCTCCACATGGTTCTATCCCTTCTGTGATTCTGTGTACTTGGATCTCCCTCTCTGTTCTTCTATAAGGATATCAGTCATTGGATTGAGGATTCACCCTGAATCCAAGATGATTTCTTCTTGAGATTGCAAACTGATTATATCTTTCAAGGAGCTGTGAAGTCACATTCAGAGATTCCAGTAGATACAAATTTTGGAGGAAGAAAGCATTCCATTCACTACACTAAACAGTCAGCAAAAAGAAGAATCTGTGTTATTGTTTTCTAATAATAAGGGCCAAGGTAGCCTTCTCTGAAGTTTGCTTATTTCTCAGTTGACGACCCCTTGCTTTGAAAAAGGAGTTGATGCAATTTATAGTAAACACACAGTGCAGACAAGCAGAAAAGCAAGAGTCAATCAAAAGACCAGAAAAGGGAAGGGGTCTCGATATCCAGAAATTTCAACTCAGAAAGGGGCTGGTTCTTGGGCTTCCTAGCAGTTAAGCAGAGGGGGCCTGAGATAGATCATCTCTCTCTCATCATTAATTAATCCATGAGGGCAGAGACAACCTTCGTTCCACTCCTGAGTGCAGGAAGAAAGGTTTCCCATGGGAAACCAGAATTTTAAGAAAACACAGAGGCCTTCTAAGACAGGTTGTGGTAATGGCCAACATACAGAGTTAACTTGTAGTCATGTGAAGGCCATCTTAGCACTCAGGAAGAAGAAATAAATGCATCTGGGGAACAGCTTTGTGATAAAAGGATAAAATACAGAGAAATGTGAAGGGTTAATACATAACAGATCCCTTGGGGTGGAAACTGGGGAAAGATCACATTTATTACCAGTGTCTGTATTCATTACTTCATAAATATTTTCTAAACTCATCTCAGTGCTATATCTCAAGCACAGAGCTGAGTAGGGTACAGAAATAAGACCAACTGGGCTACAATCTAGCAGAGCAGGGCTCAGAGAGCAGTCCATGGTCAAGCTCTGGCAGGAGCAGATGGGGTAGCAGACAAATCAACAGTGAGTTAGTCAGAATGGGAAGATGGGTCCTGGCTGAAATGGGCTTCAGAAATCTGGAATCTTGACCTTCAGGATGCTGCAGGTTCAAATCTTTACATTGCCTGAACCCTGATGAGTAAACCTAAATATATTTTTTGGTATTATCTGAATTTTACTTCTACTCAAACCCCTCCCAACACTTGTTCTGAGCATGTCCAGATGGATATCACTGACTTGGCTACTGGAGTTGGTGCTTGAGTTGTAGCATACACCCAGGTAGCAGGAGGCCAGTGTGGGTAGGAGACAGTTCTACCTGCTGTTTTCCTGTGCTTTCACTCTAGCTGGCATCTTATGAGACCCCTCATGCCTCATCTGATCTCTGGTGCCACACCTTCCATGGTGGCCTCTGAGCCGTCTCTGATCTCCATCTGATCATGGAGACACATGTCTCATACAGTGTCCTCTGCTGCAACACCAGCTCTTGCTTAACCAGCTCTGTGCCCTACCCAGCCATGAGTGTGCAGGCCTGGGAATCCTTGGTGCTCCCCACTCTGCTGTGGGACCACAAGAAATATGGGAACGTCTCTGTCCCTCTCATTCATGGACACATTCGTGTCTCCTTTGCTTACCCCATGGCTGCTGCTGCACCCTGGTGGCCTGGAGCTCTCCTCCCTAAGACACCAGGCCCATGCTACAGAGAGCCTGCTTCTCCCAGAAGGACTTGGCCTTAGGAGGCAGGGTTACCACAGGCATAGGGTAAGGTGAAAGTCAAACTCTAGATGGAGGTTGGTTGGGTTGAAATCTCAGCTGTGGGGTTTTGAGCCAATTACCAGAGGTTACTGAATCTCCATCTCAACTCATCTATAAATGAAAAATATATAGGGCTGCTTTATAGGTTGAAATGGGACAATACACATTTGTATAAATATAAGAAAATACAAATACATAAGCATGTCTCATACAGAACAGGGCCTGGTACGCTGGAAGCCTTGTGTAACCTTAGCTGTTAGATGGTTCTAAACACTGTTAACAGAATTAACATTTTCTATCTTCAGTTCCTTTCCCCTTCTTGTCCCTCTCACCCACAGCTCAGAATCTCTCTTCTTTTCTCTTGAAGTAGAGAAAAGCCTACTCAGACTGTATTCTTTCCATTTCTTTACTTAGTCTATAGCTTTTTAATTCAAAAATCTAAGGATCCAGCATCTTTATGTTCCATGGCTTTTTAATGACAGTTCCCATGTTTCAGAATGCAAACAGGGATGGTTGGAGGGTTGAGCTATGTGTGTGCGGATGCATGAAGTAACGCCCCACATGGTCCTCGCACCAGTCTTTGAGAATTTGGGTTGGGGGCACTGGGTCATACCAAGGTGGAAATCAGGGAGAAGATGCAGTGGGTGGTGGCTGTACCTCTGCCTCTGCTGTACCCGTACCTCTGTCCCTGTGCAGGACTCAGGAATCGACATTGGGGACATCACCGCGAGGAAGGCTCTGAGGAAACAGCTGCAGTGCAAGACCTTCCGGTGGTACCTGGTCAGCGTGTACCCAGAGATGAGGATGTACTCAGACATCATTGCCTACGGGGTGGTAAGGAGGCGCTCTCTTTGGGGGTTTCATTTAAATGCAGACAGAGAGCAAGACCAGAAAGAGGCTTAAGGAAGAAAGGGAAGGGAGAGAATAAAGCCCCACGGAGGGGACCCAGAGTGGACCTGAGGACTCAGTGCTGGTTTCTGGACCTGCGAGACAGCCTTTGCTTTCACAGCCAGCAACTCTCCAGGCCCTTAAGTGGGTATTTGTCTCTCCTTGATTGTTCTAAGCAGTTCAGCTCTGGCCCCCCAAAATGCATATTCCACTCATTAAAATATCAAGAACCAACTAGCTGAAGATTTTAAAGTGATATGATTAACACCCACTGTTCTCCCAGCTGGGGTGACTGAGGTCCTGCCAACCTCCCTGTACTCTTCCACCAAAGGTAATGCTCCTGTGCACATGCAGAGCCTCCCTGGAAGGAATTCTGAGAAATAGTTTGTTGTACTTTGAGGGATGTGATATTCCCACCTCTTGATGGGGATGGAACAGTTCTCCCCAGTGGGAGGCAGCAGGCTGGGAGTGGAGACAGAACATAAGGCTTGAGTCAGACAGGCCTGGCTCAGATCTAAGCCTCTTCCCAATCCAGTATTTTCATGTCTGTGGGCCTCAGTTTCTTTATCTGGTAAATGGAATAAATTAATACTGTCCTCATAGAATAGAAGCAAATCTGAGATATATATATATATAAATGTGTTTTCTAGGTTAAAATACTTTGAACATGATAAAGTCTCTCATTTTCCCAATATTCTCAAGACCCTACGACTCTTAAGGTATTTTAAACAGCATCAGATCAATTTGGTGCTATCTCACCTGGTTTTTGTTGATTTAAGCCCCTAAGACCATTCTGTGAAATTATTATATTATCTCCATGTTATAGATGGGGAAACAGAGAGGCAAAAAGTTACCCGTCCATAGTATATAATGATAATCAACAGTGAAACTGAGTCGAATTGAAGCCCCTTTTTTGATGCCCTGTGGTCTGAACTGAGTTCAAAGCCTGCCTGAGCAGGGAACTCAATGCACAGAGCATTGTTCTGAGAACAGAAAGAGTCCTTGCTGTGGGTTTGGACTCAGTGTTCTCAATGGTCCTCCCAATGTTAACATCCTGGGATTCTAAAGTACCCAAAGCTGGGATCTCAGAACATGTGCACCCAGAATCTCTGTGGTCCAGGAGGCCAGCCTAGAGGAAGGACACATATCCTCCCATAAGAGTCCTCAGATGTGATTGGCATGTTCCAAGAGAACTGCCCGAAGCCTCTCGCCTCTAATCTTCTCAAGCTGATGGAATTCAGAGGTCAGAAAACATCTCAGCTGCTGCTGCCCACTGTTATCTGAAGCTCCAAATCCTGCCATCACCATGGAAACATATTGTACTGCAAGGTGTCCATTGGTCCCCTCTACCTCACAAGCAACACCACTGCCTTGGCCACTGTTAGACCCAGTCCTGAGAGGTTAGTGATGCTACCATAGCTCCAGAGAAACTATTGGCTGGCTCCAAACCTCTGAGTCAGGGTCAACTTCCAGACTTATGTTCTCAGCAGGCTATTGACAGTAACTGAACAGAATTAGCCAAACTTACCCAGAGAGGCAGAGGAAGCAGTAAGAGTGGAGGTGTGTGCACATGGTCCAAGATACTTCTGGATCTTGGCCAAAGGGATTCTCATCCTTCAGGTAAAAGTGTCTGACTTGAAGTAAGACAAGTAAGTAAGTATACATATGCAGCAGGTTTACCATGTAGCCCTTTGATGCCAGACCCAGAAACATTTGGATGGCCAAATAGTAAGTGGCATATACAGGGTTGTGATCTAGATCTGTCTGAGCCCATAGCTTGGACTGTTTTCATTCTGTCATACTGAGACACATCAGCTCATGGTTCCAAAGGGCTGAGCTGTGTCCCATCCCCAGGGCTGGTGGAGGTCTCTGAACCCTGCATGTTCATCTACCGGCTCCTTGCAGAACACAGCCAGCCTCTCCTCCCTCCACCTCGTTCATGGCAGTGGTAGAATCTCAGCTCCTACATGAGCAGAGACATGCTTGCTTGTCCAGAGAACATAATGAGCCATTAACATGGGCTAAAAGGTAAAGATGGGTGGAGCAAGATGCAGCCACAAAAGCAAGAGAATTTACTGGGTCTGAATTATTCTTCCTGGTTATCCTTTTTTACTCTACAATAGAGAGCCCAGATGTCTTTCTGTTGCAAAGATTTTTTTTTTCTTTTTCTTTGTCAGCTCTTACCCAAACTGCATTTTGCAGGTCAAAACTTCTGGGTCTCCCAGTTGGGTCAGTGTGAAGTCTATACTCTAGCCCACTAATCCTCTGATAGGTCTCATTTATGACTCGTGCAGGCAGAAGGACCTGTGGCCCTCCTTGTGTGGGAATAGGCTTCCCCTGGATTACTGGGATTCATGTCCAGGAGATGGAGTAGCTTTGGATGAATTCCAGCTCTGGTGCTGGGAGCAAAGATGGAGCAGCACCTGGAAACAGACATGTCTGGCTTCTGAACGTTTGCTTTGCCACTTACTTGCTGTGTAACCTTGACAATGTGCAAAACCTTAATGGTTATAGTAACCCATTTCATGGGGCATGTTTTATAGCTTCAGGATTGTAGCCATTTTTATGTCGGAAAGAGCCTGGGCTTTGGAGTCAGACAGACCCCAGCTCTGCCGCTTGCCCAACTCTGATGCCACTCATTTCAGAATGCCATTCATGTGTTCATTTTCTTCATACACTCATTCAATGAGTAGTGAATGCCTTGTGCCTTGGTCCACGTGCTATATAGTGAGAAAGACAGAGACTCAGCCTGGTGACTAATTGGGGGCAGGGGCAGATGAAGAAGCAACAAGAATGCAATATGCCAGTGAGAAGAGAATGGGTGACATGAGACGTGCCCACACAGTGGGAAAAGCATCACAGGCAGGGAGGGGAGGTGGAGCTTGCTACTACACCATGGTTACTTCATCCTAAAAAGAGATAATATTGTAGACCTGGCTGGATTATTTTGAGAAGTAGCTGTGATACACATGGAAGGTACTTCACACGGTATGTGGAACTGAGATGCAGTCGTAAAAGCTAGTTTCCCTGAATGGCTTTCAGGAAGGTTCTGGCAGTAAAATAGCAGCTAACAGCCATGGCACATTTGCAGTTTGCCAGCCCCATTGCTGAGCACTTGTTGATGTTGTCTTACTTAACCCTCACACAACCCTACGAGGAAGGCACTATTATTATCCCTATTTTAGAGGGAAGAGACAGGAAGAAGTTATGTTGCTTTGCCTAAGACCACACAATTGGAACCAGGAATCCATCCCAGCCTGGCTCTCCACATTGCTTCAATGAGTCCACCTGCTTATGGGGGAGAGAGGTCACAGAGCCAGGGAGGGCTGTAACAGAAGACACCCGCCCCTCACCCAGAGAGTGGCTTTAGAAACCAGGGAAAAACCAAGCCTAACATCAGGGCTACCTGGGTCTTTTTCTTTACCATGGCAGTTAGCAGGTCTTGCTGATGGAGTCCACTGCTTGGCTTGAGATGTGACACCTGCCTCTCAGTGAGTGCAGAACAAGTCCAAAATGTGTTTATACGCCGTCCTCCCACAAGGCAAGCTCAGGAGTGGGTACATGATAAAGGACAGCTGCCTAGCTGACTCTGGGGCCCCCGTCTAGGGAGTGAACACACATCCATATCAATTTCTCCAGAACTTCCAAGCTGTGTGAGATGAAGCTGTCCTCACCCACTGGAGCTAGGAGAGAAGACTAAATTTGTGCCCCTTGATTGAGTTCATCTCACTCCTGTCACAATATATTAGGACAACAGAAGCCCAGATGCTCTCTGTCCCTGGCCTTCCCCAGAAAGATGACCTGCTTCTTGTTCATTGCCTCTGTCTTTCTGGACTCTGATCTCCAGCCCCCTCTTCTAAACAGGGCTTTGTGTTGCTAAGAGAAACCCAGTCAGGCGAGCTCAAGTAGGGGTGGCAGGAAGGTACCACAAACTCCCTATGGGCACAGGAACTGAAGTATGGCTGGTCATGGGCATACAAGCGAGGGAGCTACTGAAGCCAGAGCGGGGGCAGAATGGCTCTCTCGCCTCTAATTTTATCTCTCTCACACTTTATCTCATCCTTGGTCATAACCAGCTTTCTCTGCTTGCACATGGCCTGATTCCCCACACTTAATCTCAATAGCCCCATAATTCTAGTGACTGCCCCCCATTAACCACAGTCTCCAGATCTCATTGAGATTTCCATCAATATAAGAGGAAGATGAAGTGGCCAAATTTCAGAGAGATAGGGGAGGAGAGAGGAGGAGAGAAACAGAATCATTTATTCATTCTAAGCTGGCGCTAGAGGAGCACTGTTCTACGCAGCGGTGGTTGGTCAGCTGTGAGTGGGTTTAGCACAAGGGAGTAGAATATGGGCTCTCTTGCCCAGATATGTTCTGTAATCACCAAGACTGTGGGTCCATGTCCCTGGATGTGAGGATAGGTACAT